GGGCATCCCATCATATCATCTCAGCCACTGTGAGCGAAATCATCAACGCATACCAGCTGATCAGGTGGTGGTGCGTATATAAAGTCATAACATTTTCCCATATCCCATATACATATAATATACGCGTATATAACTCCATCTGGTCATGGGTCAATGTACGTGTATAAATTAATGCAATGCATAATGAAGTAAGTCAGTAAGATTTCTCGGAATATCATAAGATCAATATGCCTTCGGATAAACTTTAGAAACTTATGTATTTTTCTGATACCCATGAACAAAAGATATAATAATAGGACACATGGGAAATCAAGAACATAGGCACCCCTAGTACTTCTATGAATAGAGTCATTTATGAAAGTTCCGCGTTTACACGTTTCGTTTGTATCATATGGATCATGTCAAAATGAAAGAATGGATAGCCTTAACATACCTCAAGTCATCAATACAACTCAACAATAAGTTTATGACAACTAGCGCGCCACCCATATAACAATTAAATATGTGTACAACTTAGATGGTGGTGGTATATCACGTATCTCAAATGATAACTCGATTCTAAAATACAATTGGCAGCATTTCCTCTGATTTCACTACTCCCTCAAGCCTACTATAGGCGAGACACAAATACAACATAATCAGCAACTCAAAAACAACCCAACTACAATTCAGGACCTTCAATACAGCAAAACCCCCAAATATACCATAACACACCCAATCAATAAGTTATCAATTAGCCTCAAATTGAATCGACGAGCGACTAGCCTACTAAGCCTACCACATGTGGCATTTCTCCACGCCCTTCATCCTTCTAAACTTCATAAATCAGCAGCACAATAGGCCAACATGAGAGGACTACAAAACAGTCCACTAAAAGTGAAATAAATCAAACTCACAGATTTTGATCACCGTCCCGTGAATTATAAATATTAAGAAATTAATTTATCAACCTTCCTTGATATTTAAAAGCATAAATAAAGAAAGTAGGCATTTTATTAACTATTAAATACATTCCAAAACTCAAACTACAAAGAAAAAGAGAGGCGATATAGCGATACTTACGTCGTAAGGATCGTTCTAATATTATCGCTTCTTGATTTCGTACACGGGATGTTAATCTTCTTTGAAATCCTAGAAGAGAGCTTAAGGATATGTTTATGGGTGTTCTCTGGTCGTTTTCTATGGAAAAATAAGATAAATACGACCTAAGACCTTAATATAATCAACTTTTGAAAAGTCAAAGAGGTGCTAGCTTGGCACCCTATCATTGGCCATTCTTCTGACACTTATATCTTTTTATCCGGATGTCGTATGAATGAAAGGTTAAGAGAGTTAGAAATTACATTCCAAGACCTTCAATTTGGTATATAATATGTCCCAAAAGAGACCCCATATATCACACGAAATGTATTACTGAAAAAGTTTTGTTACAAGGCAAATCCTTAGTCGGTTTTTTCGCAACTTAAATTCGACTTTTCCCAAACTTTATATTTTCATTACAAACATCATATATAGTCATATTATGACTTTAAACCTATTTAAATCATGATTAACAAGTCTCATATTCATTATACGACACCTTGGGACGCACAGGGTGTAACACTATTGACAATGCATGAACTTCCACAGTTAGAAAATCTACCAGAGGAACAAAACCAGAAATTTGGCTCAAAGATTATGTCACCAGCTGGAAACCATCAGGACAGACTGCCTATCTAATCTCTCACTATGTCAGTTACACACATTTACCACAGTACTACCAAGCCTAACTCACTACCTTTTCTGCACTTACAGAATCAAAGTCTTTCTATGAGGCTTCTACATATGAGAGATGGATTAAAGCTATGCAAGAAGAAATTCAGGCCCATGAAGCTAATAATACCTGTGAGATAGTAGAGTTACCACCAGGGAAGAAAGCAATTGACTCAAAACGGGTCTACAAGATCAAATATAAAGTAAGTGGTGAGATTGAAAGATTAAAGGCACGCTTAGTGGCCAAGGGTTACACACAACATGAAGGTCTTGATTACCATGAAACTTTTTCACCTATTGCAAAGATGGTCACAATGAGGACTGTGATTAGCCTTGCAGCCTCTAAGGGTTGGAAGCTATTTCAAAGGGACGTGAACAATGCATTTCTGCAGGGTGATCTTTCTGAGGAGGTGTATATGACTTTGCCACAAGGATTCCATAGGTAGGGGGAGTCTCAGGTTTGCATGTTACTCAAGTCCCTTTATGAACTCAAGCAGGCATCAAGGCAGTGGAATATAAAGCTGACTAATGTTCTTACTAAAGCAAGATACTTACAAAGTGTCTATGATCACTCCTTGCTCACAAAGAGGTCATGTACGGACACAATGATCATCTTAGTATATGTGGATGACTTGATGATCACTGAGAGCAACAATGATATGATAGATGAAGTTAAAAGAACTTTACATAAGTCTTTCAAGCAAAAAGACTTGGGAAAGTTGAGATATTTATTAGGGATTGAAATCATGAGGTCACACAAAGGCATATTGCTAAATCAAAGAAAATATGCACTAGAGCTCAGATCAGAGTTGGGACTCAGCGGTGTAAAACCTGTAGTTCACCTCTTGAGCAAAATCAAAAGCCTACTACTGTTGACTATGACAAATATGTAGGACTCAAAGGAGATGAAGAGCTAACAGACATTAGAGGATATTTGAAGCTGATTGAAAAATTGATTTACTTGACCATAACCAGGCCTGATATCTGCTTTGCACTTTAGGTCCCGAGCCAATTTATGCAACACCCAAAACAATCACACTTAGAAGCATCTATGAGAGTAGTGAAGTATATAAAAAGGTCACCTAGGAAAGGAATACTACTGAAAAATGGATCACAAGAACATATCTCAGCCTATTGTGATTCTGATTGGGCAGCCTGCCCCAACACCAGAAGATCAGTAATAGGTTATATAATTAAACTTGGTGAGTCACTGATTTCCTGGAAGTCTAAGAAGCAACGTACAGTAAGTAAAAGCTCTGCAGAAGTAGAGTATAGAAGCATGGCTGCTGTCAGTGCAAAACTGGTATGGCTCATAGGATTGCTGAGAGAATTTGATGTGTCCATACAGATGCCAGTAAATATTTTTTGTGATAGCAAAGCAGCTTTACAAATAGCTACAAATCCAATCTATCATGAGCGGACAAAACATATAGAAATTGATTGCCATTTTGTGAGAGAGGAGATAAAAAGTGAACTGTTATCCACTCACTATATTCCTACTAAAGAGCAGGTGGCAAACATGATAACCAAAGGCCTTGGAGTTGCTCAGCATCAGATGTTGATATCCAAACTAGGAATGTTCGATGCTTTCCATTCTCTAGTTTGAGGGGGGAGTATCAAGAGCAAGTTAGAGTCGTTAGTTAGTTTAGGTGGTGTAACTAACTAGGGTCCTAAGTGTAGATAAAAGAACCTTAGGGGTCATATTAAAAGATAGATATGAAGGGCACGTGATTATGTTATTTAACAGTGCCCTTCCTCAAATCAATTGTAATTTTTCATTCTTCAAAGATAAGAAATGTTCTCACTTCTCTCTAGCCTTCCTCTTCGTTTCTCTCTCTAGATTCTTCTATCAATTCCATTAGAAATTCATTTGCATGTTAATAATTTCAGTTCATCAAGCTTAGATTTAATAAATTGACAGTATTGACTTGTATAGTAAGTTTAGCTAATTTTTATACATATACGCGGTCTATGTAAGCGTTTTCTCACATTGTTCTAGTGCTCCAAAAGATACGCGGCAATATTTTCTAGGACTGTGTTATATTACTAAAGAGAGATATAAAATGGTAAAGGGAGCATAATAGCATCATTAGTGGAATCAAAACATTTCCACATATAATTTTTAAAACATTAAGAAAGAGCAGCGGGGAGACATTGATTATTGTTTAACGATAGGCAACATTTCTACCTCTTTGGTTTGATCACAAAAAGGAAAACTTTAATTGGATATTCTTTCTAGGAAATGAAGCAACATTCCTCATGAAGTTAGTTTAAACTTTTCAATCAAATTCCTTGCAATTTAGTTTCTCACTAAGTGTAACTCCTCATGTTTGGTTTTGAAAATTGTTAAATTGAGGATTAACTTTGTGAATCTCAGTTTAATTGACAGAAATGAGGATCTAGGGTTCATCTATGAAAAGGAATATTCTGGAATCTGAAGAGAGGAACGTTTGAGGAAGAAGATATAATTTTCTCTCTTACTCCTTACAAAATGCACAAGTCACAGACTTATATACAATTACACTTGGCCGGATCACGTGCACATCATGTGTTATTCACTAAGCGACTCACTAACAGCCTTAACTAATTACATCGACAACAATTAATTGATATAACAGACTGCCTAATCTTCACTCTATTTTAATACTCCCCCTCAATGTGGAGGGTGAAAGACATCGAACACTCCAAGCTTGGATAGAAGTGACTGATGCTATATAGTTCCTAGAGCTTTGGTCAGTAAATCAGCAAGCTGGTCTTTTGTGTTGACATGTTCTGGCAATATCAGCCCACCTTTAATGGTTCCTCTCAAAAAGTGACAATCAATTTTAATGTGCTTTGTCCGCTCATGATAGATGGGGTTGGAAGCAATTTGTATGACTGCTTTACTATCACACATCAGCTTCACAGGTTGAGAAACAATCACCCCTAATTCCTTCAGCAAACCTGTCAACCAAATCACCTCAGAAATTGCTGCTGCCATGATTCTATATTCAGCTTCTGCTCACAGTGTGTTGTTTCTTTTATTTCCAAGAAACAAGTGAATCTCCCAGCTTTACAACATACCCAGTGATAGATATCCTAATATTTGGACAGGATGCCCAATCACTATCATAAAATGCAGTCAATTGTGTACATGGGCTGCTTCTTAGTAGAATCCCTTGCCCTGGTGAGCTTTTGAGATACTTTGCCAATCTGAGGGCAGCCTCCTAGTGTGAGGTCTTAGGTTTCTGCATAAATTGGCTAAGAACCTACACATCAAAACCGATATCTGGCCTGGTGATGGTAAGATAGAGCAGCTTCCCAACTAGTTTTTGATAAGAAGTAATGTCTGTAAGCATAGGATCATTAACACCTCCCACATGTTCATCATAGTCTATAATAGTGAGCATTGTGTTCACCTCTAGTGGTGTGTTAACTGGTTTAGCATCACTTAAACTAACATCTGAGATCAATTCAAGTGCGTACTTCCTTTGATTGAGAAGTATACCATTCTTTGATCTCAACACCTCAATTCCCAGGAAATACCTTAGCTCACCTAAGTCCTTAACTTTTAAATTTATATGCAGTGTATTTTTCACTTGCTCAATTAGTCTTCCACTGTTACCAGTGATTAAAAGACCATCAACATATACTAAGACAATGACAATCTTATCATTTTCTTTTCTGGTGAATAGAGAATGATCATAAGGGCTTTGAAGATAACCTGCTTCTTGGAGAGCATCTGTGAGTTTTATATTCCATTGCCTTGAGGCTTGCTTCAAACCATACAATGATTTGAGTAGTTTGCAGACTTTATACTCCCCCTGCCTCTAAAAACCCCGAGGCAGGTCCATATAAACATCCTCTTGTAGGTCTTCTTGCAGAAATGCATTATTAACATCCATCTGGAATACAGGCCAATTTTTTGAAGCTGCAACACTGATTACTGTTCTCACAGTCACCATCTTAGCAACATGTAAGAAGGTTTCATAGTAGTCTAATCCTTACTATTGAGTGTAATCTTTTGCAACAAGCCTGGCTTTGTATTTGTCTACTTCTCCATTTGGCTTGTACTTGACTTTATATACCCATTTTGAACCTACAGTCTGCTTCCCTTCAGGCAAGTCAACAAGCTCCCAAGTGTGATTTTGCTCTAAAGCATCAACCTTCTGTTGCATTGCTTCAACCCATTTCTGATCTTGATATGCCGCCTTGAAGTTTCTTGGCTCCGCGGGGCCTGAAAACATGCTCAAATACTTCTGATAGTCAGCAGATAAGTGATCATATCCCATATAATTTGCAATGGAATAGGAGCACTTAGAAGACCCTCTTTTGGTAGTGATATAGTCCTTTAACCAAATGGGTCGCTTAGTAACTCTTTTGCCCCTGTTATTCTCTGCTAATTGTTCAGTTGAATTATGTTCTTCTACTGGTTCCTCATTAGGCATCTCTCTATTAAATTCAGTTGGATGACAATCGTGTGTTGTCTCTATTGAAGAACTGGATGCAATGTGTTGTGTATCTAACCAATGATCTACAATGTCATGTGTATGTGTAGTTTCTATAGAATCACTTCTATCTTGGTGTATTGGATCAGCTGACTACTGTGGTGGAGTTGAAGCATGAGAATTCTCTTCATTGTGTGGATGAGTACCTCCTAAATTGGTTATTGGCATGAATAATACATCATCTTCATTTTCAATTGGCATAAATCTGAAAGGGAAAGTTCTTTCCCTAAAGCTGACATCCCTACTGATGAAAAAGTCTTAGTGTCCAAGTCAAATAGCTTGTATCCCTTATGAGTCTCAGAATAGCCCATTAACAGTGTCTTCTTTGTTCTAGGAGCTAGTTTATCAGACCTAGGTAGACTGCTTGCATAGCATAAACAACCAAGCACTCTCAAATGATCCATCACTGGTTCCTTCCTATAGAGTACCTCATATGGTGTTTTGCCTTCTAGTACTGGTATAGGCAACTAATTTATTAGATAAACTGTTATTTTAACACACTCACCCCAAAATTTGACTGGGATAACACCTTGAATTTTCAACGCTCTTGTCACTTCTAAAATATGTCTATGTTTTCTTTCTACTGTCCCATTTTGCTGTGGTGTATAAGTACAACTACTTTGATGAATAATTTCAAGAGAACTGAAGAGTTCATTATATTGAGAATTAAAGAATTCTGTACCATTATCCGACCTTAATACTTTCACATATACACCAAACTGATTTCTTATCATTGTCAAGAAATCCTTAAGTACAACTAACACTTCACATTTAGATTGGAGTAAACAGACCCAAGTGTACCTACTATAGTCATCCACCACAGTAACAAAGAATTATTTTCTATCAAAAGTAGGCCATCTATAAGGTCTCCACACGTCTACATGTATCAGTTTGAAAATACCACTAGTGCTACTCTTGCTAATAGAAAACTTTAATCTCACTTGTTTTGCCATTGGGCATACTAAGTATTGTTCGTGCACTGTGTTGTTTAGTTTGTTCTTCAGTCTTGGTATGTGTTGCATTGCTATAGCTGAGCGATGTCCTAGCCTTAAGTTCCACAATTCTACTTTATCTGCATCTTTTATTACAGTTGCTCCTACTGTAGGCTTTATTTCTCTTTGCAATATGTAGAGTCCATTATTTTCTCTAACAATCACCATTACATTGACATTGTAGAGTCCCTGAAACACACAAAATCAGGGAAGAAAGTGACCTTACACAGCAATTCCTTGGTTAGCTTTGACACTGAAAGCAAATTAAATTTGAAGTCTGGCACGTGCAACACATTCGTGATTTTATGACTTCCTAATACCACTGTACTTCCTGCACTAGATATATATGACTTATTGCCAGTTGGTACTTGTACTCTACTGTTGTGACTCTTTTCTAAGCTTCTTATGTATTCTAATAACTCCTTACAGGGTGTAATATGGTGTGATTCCCCTGAATCTATTATCCATTCACATATATAAGTCTCAGAAAGTAATGTAACAGTACCTGCCACCATGTTCGAGTTGCAATCACCTGGTGGAGGTTTATTAAGCAAGCTCATGAGTTGTGAATACTCTTCCTCGGTAAAAAAATATCCCTGTACCTAATCCTCAGCTGCTGCACTGTTGATGCTTGTCTTATAGCCTCATCCAGTCTGTGGTCTGCTGCTAGATTGGCCAGGAGTTCCACCAAAGTGACCATTTTTCTTCTTACTTTTAAAGACTAGGGGGTACCCTACCATCTTATAGCAATTTTCCTTCAAGTGGCCCTTATAGCCACAATATTCACATATCATGCATGGTCCCCTTGGTTTGAACCCTTGCATTTTTCCTGCAAGCATAGTCAATGGATCTTTGTGAGTGTCCACAACACCAAGGGATGTCTGGCTCTCTTCCTATGTGATAATCGCATAAGCTTCATTTATTGTCACCAGTGGTTTCCTTGAAAGTATGTTGCTTCTTATGTTGCTATAACTTTCATTCAATCCCATAAGAAATCGCAGCAAACGTTGTGACTTCAGGAGTTCAATAGATGGCCTCGCTTCTTCACAATCACAACATGATAAAGGAGCCAACACATCCAATTCGTCCCACAGATCCTTCATTTTGGTGTATTAACTCGTTACTGAATCTGTTCCTTGCCTCATTGTTGCTATTTCAATCCAGAGGTGGTAAATCCTTGTCAAGTTTGAGCGATCAAATCTCTCCTGAAAATCGTTTCACACTTTCCTCGTATCTGATGCATAGACAATACTTGGCATTAATTCATTCGAAATTGTGTTTCCTATCCATGGCAACACTATTGCGTTGCATTTTTCCCATTGCTCAACCAATTCCCCTTTGTGCCTAGCCTTTACACACGATCCATCCACAAAACCTAGTTTGCTCTTTCCTCCAAGGCCAATTTCATTGCTCTGCTCCACCGGGCATAAATTTCTGGCCCTGTGAGCTTGATTGGAATTAAAACCAGCCCTGGAGTATCTCCAACTTAAAGGTATAGTGGATGATTGTGATCAAGTGAGCTTACTTCATTTTTCTCCATGTCCGCCTCTTCCAGCTTGAAATTGTTCTTATTCAGTCGGAGCTTTACGCCGGAGTTCATGCCTCACGATCGTCGCTCTGATACCATGTTAAATTGGGGATTAACTTTGTGAATCTCAGTTTAATTGACAGAAATGAGGAGCTAGGATTCATCTATGAAAAGGAATATTCTAGAATCAAGAGAGAGGAATGTATAAGGAAGAAGATCTCATTTTCTCTCTTACTTCTTACAAAATGCACAAGTCAAAGACATACAAAATTACACTTGGCCGGATCACGTGCACATCATGTGCTATTCACTAACCGACTTACTAACAGCCTTAACTAATTACATCGACATCAATTAACTGATATAACAGACCGCCTAATCTTCATACTATTTTAACAAAAATCATCTCTCAGTATGAACTAAAGAGATTAATAAACGCTAATCCACGACTAGTAAATTTGAACCAAGAGAGATCAACTTACGGTTTTTAATTGAGGTTGATGGCGATCAACAAGCTAATTCAAGAAATTTTTCGAAAGCGAATTGTGTTATTTTCAAAATATCTTGCTTCAGCTAAGAAAAAGAAAGTCTATTTTTTTTCCATATATATAGTTCGTTGGTTTGACCAACGATTAGCAGTAAAAGTGGAGAAGAGTATCAGATTTTTGAAAGAAACTTGAGGTCATAAATGATTCTTATTCGTTCAATTTTTACTTTTTTAAATACTCCATCTTTTATTTTATTAAAATTGACATGACCCATAGAAGCTCTTGCCAAAAAGAATCTTTTTAGTGCTATTTAAGTTTATGACGTTGAAAAACTGATAAATAAGGGAACAGTATCTAGTCAGAGCTAGCTCATCTTTTATACTCTAACAAATCAATCTTTAAAGTTTTTAGTATTTAATTTATTATATTTTTACAGTACAGACGACGACTCGTCAAGAGAACCTCAAGCTTAAGTATATTTGTATCCTCCTTCATAATAATTTAGGAAGAATCTTAATTTTCAATAAGTAGAGTTACTTAAAGCATAATTCTTTAATTAAACTTCTCTTTAACGGTATTTCAGAATTCAAGAACCCTTTACTTTTCTTTAATTTCGTCAATTTTCAATTTTCATTTTATAAGGTATCTCTCAAATTCACTAATAAAATAATAGACAATGTTATTTTATCCGTTTCAACTTATATGTTTTATTCTCCTTTTTAGGCTAGTCAAACAATGTCTTATTTCTATATTTAGTAAGTTATAATTTCAATATATTCATTTTACTTTTTAATGTCATACTTTTATAGAAATGACACAACATATAAACTCAAATGATAATTTTGGTATGTTTTGCATACACCTTTTATTTACAATCACATGATTCAATTTTTTTAAAATATATTTTTAACTTTGTGTCTGTGTGAAACTAAGACATAGTACAGTAAACGAGGAGGCTTATAAAATAAGACTAAAATATTAAAATTTAGATTCCAGCCTCGAGAGAAGAAGTAACCAAGCAAATCGTCTATAACTAAGCCAGATGGCGGCTTCTCTTTATAGTTTCTAACGCCTCCTTACCTCTGCTCTCATGCATCAGCCTTTCTCCATATTTAAACTCCACCAATCCCCTACCAAACCAACCAAAAACCTACTACTTCCTCTTCTTTCTTCTTCTTATTCCTCTTCAAGTTTATATTCCTACGACACACTATTAAACTATGGTGGTTTTAACTCAGCCACTTGTAGAAAATTTATCTCACATAAAAACATGCAAGAATAACAACACTGATGTTTTCACTGGTATTCCAGTGATAGACTTATTAGACCCTGAAGTCAACACCCTTATTATTAAAGCTTGTCAAGAATTTGGATTTTTCAAGGTGGTGAATCATGGTGTCCCTGTTGAAACCATGACCAAATTAGAAAGTGAAGCTGTCATCTTCTTTAACTTGTCCCAAGTTGAGAAAGACAAAGCCGGTCCAGCTAACCCTTTTGGCTATGGTAACAAAAGAATTGGCTCAAATGGTGATATGGGTTGGGTTGAATATTTATTACTCACAACTAACCCTGATCTTAGTTACCAAAAATCCTTCGCTATTCCCGGAAATTCTCATCTTTTCTGGTAAGCAAGATATTCATGAATTTTTTTTGTTAATTTTATCTTTTTTCTTTTTACGTATTGGCAATGTGATGATTTTTTAATACCATCAGTGTAATTTAATTTATTACAGCATGTTCGTGGGCTAAAACAGTCCAAATTCACTTTTAACATAATGTGATATTGTCTATTTTGGGTCAGACCCTCACGATATTCCCCAAAAAGGCTTCATACCATTAAGAGTATCTAACTCTTATAAGTACGAATATTTTCTTTTCTACTTTCCAGGTAAAACTTTATTCAATAGGAAGAAAAATATGAATTCGATAAACAAAATCCAACTAAACATGAAAAAACTATGAAACACTAAATCCTATACAATTTAGGAATACTAATTAATCTTGATTTAATTTCCATATTACTTACCATTTATATATAACAAATTAGTACTATTACTAACTGATTTTTATTATTTTCGTGACTTGACTACATAAAAAAATTTATACGGTTCAGTAAAAAGTTTGATTTTTTCCTCCCCATTTTCTATATATGCAGGTCATTGGTGAATGAGTATGTAAGTGCAGTGAGAAATTTGGCATGTTTGGTGCTGGAAAAGATTGCAGAAGGGTTGAGAATTGAACCAAAGAATGTGCTAAGTAAGATGTTAATGGATGAGAAAAGTGACTCATGTTTTAGGCTAAATCACTATCCACCATGTCCAGAGTTGCTCCATACATTGAGTGGTAGAAATTTGATTGGTTTTGGAGAGCACACAGACCCACAAGTAATATCTGTTGTTAGGTCTAACAACACAAGTGGACTCCAAATCTCACTCAGAGATGGGACATGGCTCTCTGTCCCACCTGATCCTTACTCCTTTTTCATCAATGTGGATGACTCCTTACAGGTAACAACAATTTTTCTTTTATTTAATGGGGTCGATATGAATCCTGACTGAACACCGAATAAAGTGCGTTATATTTAAATTTGAATGGCAGGTGATGAGTAATGGAAGGTTTAGGAGTGTAAGGCACAGAGTGTTGGCAGATAGTATGAAATCCAGGGTGTCTATGATTTATTTTGGAGGGCCACCTCTGAGTGAAAAGATAGCACCTTTATCATGTTTAATGGAAGAAGGAGAAGAAAGTTTGTACAATGAGTTCACATGGTGTGAATACAAGAAGTCAGCTTACAAGACAAGGTTGGGTGATAATAGACTGACCCTCTTTGAAAAGAAACCACAACCAAATCCTGCTACTTCTGCTGCCCAATGACATACTCAAAAATAACCCTATTTAGGAAAATTACATAGGAATTTACTCACTTTCCTTAGTTGGAAAAACACCATCATCATCCAAAAGAAAAAAAAGGGTTTTTATTTTTATTTTATTTGTTTTCCTTTCTGGGTGTTTTCCTAGGTTTGGGTAATTCTATGTCATCACCTACTTTTTCTTTTTGTGCTTAATTGTAACAACTATCCTTGTGCTATAAATGCTATGTCACTTAAGCATCTTATCAAACACTTAAGCATCTTATCAAACACTTGGTGAGAATAAAGTTTCATAGTCCTTATTACGAAAGTTTCATAATCACTTTCGTATACTTGTAGGAAAAAGCTATGCAATTTTCTTTTGTTTGTGACCCTTAAATTGTGGATGTTATCAGGTGGGGTGTTATTTATTGCCTCCTCGCACAGTTTCTGTAACCTATTCCGCTAGGCATTAAAAATGCACATGGTATAACTTGGAACACTTCTACGTAGTAAACAAAAGCCAAGTCATTTTATATGAAGATGTTCGACTAGATACCGAGTATAACATAAAGAGAAAGACTTTTATAACTTACCGTTATAAATATGTGATTTATTTGTGTGATTATAAAATTATGTATTTAAAGATGAAAAAATAAGAAGATAAAAATTAAATTTTTGTTATATATAAAAAAATATCATTCTTTTTGAGACGGATCGAAAAAAAATGTGTCAATTAATGAAGTGGAGTGAGTAAGAAATTTTGAATAGAAAATGCAAAAACACGTGAAAAACTAGCAGAGCTGTGTGATTATGAGAAACTTAAAATTAATTATATCAAAGAACTTCATATTATTAAAAACATTTCCTAGTTGGATTGAAGAAGAAAGATCTATGTTCCATAGCTTTTAATAAGACATTGGACTGAATTGAAAGAAAAAAAAATGCCTGATTATGATCCCACATCTATACTTAGTATTTTTTAAACAAAATATGAATATATACAGAAAAATTATTAAATAACCCATAATTTCAAAAGGACAATAAATTCTTAAAAAATTTAAATTAAATCAATCAAATTTAAATTCTAAATACGTCAGAAAAAAAGTTAAAGGTGGACTGTTCTTCTTAAGCTTGAGAATTGGGCCACAATTTAATATATAGGGAAAGTCGCATTCAATAGAGTTTGCATTGACCATCCAACTGTAGTTTTAACTATCTCAATCTATGCTGTCTCTGACAAAACATTCTATTGCCATTCAGCCACTAGTCTTGAAAGTGACTTTATTTATAAAAGCACTTCACAAGTCTTTTAAATCTAGAAAAACTCGTCATTATATTTTTTTTTTGGTTTGATATTTTTAATGTTTCCCCTCCTTTGAATAAAATAGAAATTGAGCCGGCGTCGAAAAGTAAACATCCTACGAAAAATTGCTTGAAAAAGACACCCACAAATTAGTAAATGGTCAAACGTAAAGCTTTGAATTAGATATTACGAGTAAATAAACAAGAGTTATAAGGATTTACTGAATCGTAAATGTGACACGAGGCAACCTTCTGGACAGGCAACGACAGACTAAAAAAACAAAATAGTAGATTTTGTGTTTCAAATACTACTAAGCACTATTGCCGTCTTGTTTAACTTCTAGAGCACATGGATTTAATACAAATGAAATATAAAATTTGACTATGATCCAAATTTATAGTATACATAAACGAATTATTCTGCTGCAATATCAAGTAAACAATTACGTCGTTTCCAGGAACAATTCCTACAGTTTAACGTCAAAAGTTTAGTATGTTTATAAAAACTTAGATAAAACTTGATGTTCAACGCCTATTTTTTGACACTTTTTAGAACGATTTATTAGTATAAATATCCTTAGAGTCTCCCCTCAAAGCTTAAATAAGAGATAAGGTCACATTTTCTGGGGTCAATATAAACTCCATTCAGTTAAAACGAAAGCTTCAAGAACTGAACTTATTCCAAAATCACGTTAGTTTCGACAAGAATATACAATTCATGTCAATTCTTTTTGAATGTTATGAGTAGTTAAAATGACTAACGCAACAACTTTAAACTTTGACCAGATATAGTCTCCAACTCATGAAAGTACAACTATATATCATCATTAAAAGGTCCAGATCCTCCAAATTAATTAATTATGAATAGAGTCATCCATATCAAATTGTATGGTTTCAACCTGCAACAAGGAATTGACTATCTTGTCTAGCTTGACTAAGCAAGTAATTAACAGGTGGTCCAATTAGCAAATGGATTTCAAGTAGTATTGGGTAGTCAAAAATTTATGTTTTATATTTGTTTATTTCAAGGTATTTTATTGCATTGAATCGGTGAATCAACTGGCTCGTAATATAATTTCATTAACCGAAAAATATATTATTGAATTAGAAATTACATTCTTTCTTTTCTTAAGAATTTTGAACCTCGTCACTGAATTTCCATTGATATATTACAAGGCTATTCAATCAGGTAGAGAATTAATTCTGTCCATATATTGGACTCGCATGCAATAACTGTCTTGTCATATCTTTTCTATAATTGGAAATTGTTCTAATTTTTACTATGCATTTGGAATTAATATGCATTAATATTCAACAGCTACTTGATGGCCTACAGAATAAGTTTCGGAATTGAATAGTCAACTTGTATTACAATCAGTAAGCTTGTCGACTTCAATGTTTTTTAGGTATGTATCATGGTTAGTTACACAATCAGTAGTTCTTATCCAAAAGAAAGAAGTTGGGCAATAGAAGAAAGTCTCAAACTATAGTCTAATAATATCGGTTGGAGTCTTCCACACAATAGGCGTGAGCTCGATCTTTACTATATGTAATGGAAATTAGGAAAACATCGTACTAAAAAAACGTCTAGATAACAGTTGTACTTTTACCCCAATTGCACTTCCTAGCTCCTATGATTTATGATTTGTGATTTATCCAATATAATGGTCAAATACAATTATCGAACAGTGAACATTGAAGAGTTAATATATTGGTAATTGATATCAGCGTATTAAAAAGCGTGGGCGTAAAGCGAGACGTTTTACATATGTCTCAGCGAGGCGTAAGCCCGAGGCAAGGGGCGTAAGCCTCATAGATATTTAATTTTTAATATTTTATAAAATAATATAATGACAGTATA